AAAAAAAGAAAAGAAAAAGGGGGAGAAATTTCCATAAGCTTCTTGGATACACAGTCTACTGGCGTGGAGCCCAAAGGCAGGACTAGACATTGGTATAGGTATCATCAGTGGGCAAGCTTTCTCTCCAGAACACTTATCAGAATTGTTTCATTCTTAATGAACATGATACAGGCTGCTAAAAAAAAAATTGATGTGTGCCTCAGGCGTACTTGTGCCTTGGACTCCCCTTGAAAAGGCACTTCTCTCAGAGAATGAGTTCATCTGGGTACCATGACCTTCACAGTGGACACAGGCAGAGTTTGGCTAGAGAGGCCTAGAGAGGGAAAGGTTAAAAGTGGGTACCTGGGTCACATTTTCAGGATGCTCTGCCCTTTGACACTCTTCAGGGTGGTTCATTGGGTCCCTGAGAACCAAGAGGTCAGAGTGTGTTCTCCATCAGTGAGCCCAGGCCCTGGTGTCTGGTTTGTGGGCTTGAGGCAAGTGTGGGCAGAGGTGCTGCACTGTTGAGCACAGCCCCAAGGCCCTGCGCCCCCAGCAGAGAGCAGAGAACCAGATGGGGCTCTGATAAGAACTGGTCACAGAGCGGAGAGACAGTCTGTCCCCAGGCCTCCTCCAGCTCTCAGGGTCACTCCGCTCTTCTTGTCTGACTACATGTCCCCCAGCTGCATCGGCCCCACCAGCTCTCAGGAGTATCCCTAGCTATGGCGGAGGAGGTGAGACATGGTTCCATGTGAGCACCCTGAATCTGTCAGGAGGACTTCTCAGAGAAGGTGGCACTTCTGGGGCTACTAGGACAAGATGGTCCCATTATTGTCAACACCAGACCTCCATGCCAAATATAGAGGAAGTGACAAGGACAGGTCACCAAGGTGCCTTGCCATTTTGCTGTAGACAGCAACGAGGCAGTAAATGGGAAGAGAAAACACTTTCACAGCATGGTAAGTGCTGGAAGAACAGGGAAAGTCATGAAACCCCTATGTTTTTCTTCCACTATGACAGGGTTGTCAACTTATATTTCCCCAAATTTACCGTTTCTGCAACCTATGACCTGGAGACAGTCATGAGGACACTGGGCATCACCCAAATCTTCAGCAACAATGCTGATCTTTCAAAAGTCACAAAGGATGCTCCTGTGAAGGTATCCAAGGTGAGGCTGCCTAACGGGTGTGTAGTTCTGGATGTCTAAAGGTCAGGAGGAAATGTAGAGAGCCCAGCTTAGGCATGAGGCTGAGGATGGGGATAACGACACATGGGTAGGGGCCAGGTTGAGCGCTGAGGACTCGCAGGAGGTATCTGGGAGTATGGTCAGAGCTGGGAAGTGACTTTTCATGTAGGTGGTATCATGGTTTTTCCCTGAGGTGTTTCTCTGATGATCTTTGCCCAAGACCTTCTACTGTTTGAGATTTGGTCTGCTCATAATTATGCAGAGAATCTTACTTAGGATCAGTTATTTCAGAGAACATTCTATAATCTTCCATAAATGTGAACCACAAAGTTGAATTTATGAGTGAGTTAACTAATGAGGGAAAATCAGTAGACCCAAAACAATAGTGGTTGAACACGAACTGCAGACTTTGGGAGTTTGGGCCCTCTGAAGGTCACATTCAGAGTCCTTGTCTCAAGAAGGCCAAAACTGTGCACTAGAAACAGGACACATGTAACAGAGGGCTCGGAGAGGTCGTTCCCTCTAAGGCTTCAGGCTGCACCAAGGGTATGAGAGATGGGAGTCATGAAGGGAACAGATAGAAAATCAGGCCAAGTCCAGAAAGGTTCTGAGTGATCATGAAGAGTGAGGGGGTCGTGGTCAAGGTAAGACTGACCAGGAGGAGACAGGCCCCAAGGAGTCTCTCCTTGACTGAGGCTCCCACATAGTCTTGCTTCAGCCTAGAGTGGGGACTTCCTAGCTTCTGATCCACTTTTACCTTTCTCTCCCTCTCTGTGAAGGCTGTGCATAAGGCTGTGCTGGCAATTGAAGATACAGACAGAAAAAACGCCCAGTTTTCTAATGTATTCAAGATTACCTCACCTAAAGTCCCCACTGTCAAGTTCAACAGACCCTTCCTAGTCATCATCAAAGACAAAGCCTTAGATCTTCCTTTTATTGTGGGCAAAATAGGGGATCCCAAACCACAATAATTATACTTGAGCATCAGTTCCCACTTTCCCCAACCAGTTCTCTCCCTAGATTACTTCAAGCATGGGCATCATTTATAATTTTCTGGGGAGGAGGGGGGAGACTATTTCTAGTCATTCCCATGTATAGAGGGCAATGACAAACCAAAATAAATAAATAGATAAATAAATAAATGGATATTTTAAAAAAGATTTTTATCCAGGTCCTGCTTGGTGAACACATGAGCCAATGACTTCACTAATGTTCTTTTTTTTCCTCCGGAGATGAGGACTAAGCAAGCGCTCTACCACTGGGCTAATTCCCCAACCCATTCACTGAGGTTCTTTATGAGAGTGCAGGTGCATGGCTATACATAGATGACTTTTCTGAAGCTACATTTTTGAACAGCTTACCACAGTAACACAAGTGAAACGTCAGAAAAGCAATGTGACCAAAGTTCCTTACACAACTTACAGGCAGCTACACCAGTGAAGAGGCACCCATCCTGGCACTTATTCAATGTTTATGTCACCTCAGAAATCTTGTTTCTTAAGCCTCTCAAGTTCCTCTCCCTCCATGCGAAAACGTCTCAATCTGGAGGAAGCAGCGATGCAACACTACCAGCCGAGTCATATCCCTGAATGTCCACTGTCGTCCATTACAAGCCAATGTCAATCAGTGTCATCCATTACAAGCCAATGTCAATCAGTGTCATCCATTACAAGCCAGTGTCAATCGGTCTTGGAACTTGGCAGCTAAGGGGCTACTGAAAAAAACAGTGTAAAAGCTAGACTAGAGATATGACTCGGCTGGTAGAGTGTTTGCCTCACATATACTGGGTTCCAATCCCTAGAACCACACAGGCTGGGCGTGGGGATGCATGCCTCTAGCCACATCACTTAGGAGATGATGACAGGAAGGTGAGAAGTTCAAAGTCATCTTCAGGCTACTCAGAGAATTCTAGGTTCAAGGCCAGCTTGGGACATGTGAGACCCTATCAACACAAACAAAACAATAATTACTAATGTGTGATAGGGCAGGAAAATACTGCCTGTCTTAGTTATCCTGTCAAAAGAGCAATGCTTGGTACAAATACATGGATGGGGAACATTACCTCCCCTAACCCTCCAGAGTTCACAGTTAGTCATTCACCATGAGACATCCAGCCCCCTCAACTTGGGGCACTGCCTCAGGGACATCTCACATTTCATTGTGCTCAGGTCCCTAACGGTGCTTGTGACCATGCTTTTTCTTGCCATAATTGTCTCAGTTGGCATTCTGAGGCCAGCCACAGTTCTGGTGTGATGTCAGGGCTCCTGAGCACCGAGTTTTTCATAAGACTCAAGCAGCCCTGTCTCGACTTCCAAGGCTCTGATGAAGGGCAGCTGTAGCTAGACAGCCTGAGAGCCCAGCAAAGTGTACCTGCTGCCCAGATCCTCCTGGACACTCCTGTCCTGTGGAACTACCCCTCCCAGCCTCAAAGGGCTGGGTTGGACTCAAATAAAATAAAATTCCTCCTTGAATCATAAGGTCCATGACTCAAGTCTATGATGTGTCCACAAGAGGAGCGGAATTGGCAGCTGACCTGCTAGAGCTCACCCTGCCTTCATTTCAACAGTGTCATCAAAAAAAACACTCTCAATTCCCAAACTGCCCTTCTCTTAGGGAAAGGAAGTAGACCCAGGGTAACCGCATCCTGGGTAGTCCAGGGTATGGAAGGTATGAATCAAATTGTGCAAATTCTTGCTTAGATAAGAGCCTTTCAGAGGCACAGAGAGTCGAATAGAAATAGGACTTTTCGAAAAAAATTAAAATCTGTACATGAGAAGAAACTATCAGCAGAGTGAAGGGAAAACACTCAGAATGTGAGAAAATGCTTCAGCTCATGTATCTGGTAAGAGAATGATATCTGAAAATGTAATTGTAAAATATAACACATCTTTATGCACACACACACACACACACACACACACACACACACACACACACACACACACCTGTTCTACAGCTCAAACCAGAGCCCAAACAAATCCATTAAGCCTTGACTATTTCCCCAAGGAAGATACACAGTGACTTCTCCACAGGGGAAGGAGTGATCCACATCAGTCGGGGCTAGGGAAACAAACACACCTTTAATCCCAGCACTCGGGAGGCAGAGGCAGGCGGATCTCTGAGTTTGAGGCCAGCCTGGTCTACAGAGTGAGTTTTAGGACAGTCAGGGACCTTGTCTCAAAAAAACAAAAAGCATGGGTGTGTGGTTATTTACAGACACGTAGATGACTTTCAGGAAGCTGCATCTCAGAAAAGCCTGACACAGCATCATGGGTGAGATGTCAGGAAGGCAGTGTGCCTTTCCACAAGCTGCAGGCAGCTACACCAGCATGTGCATTGAGTCCTTTCCCATACCACCCTACGGCTTCTCTAGCCCACATCTGGAATTATTTCCAAATCCCTCCTGGACTGGTTCCCCACACATTCAGCTTCTGCCACAGCAATAATGCCACTTCTCTAGAACTGTTTTTCTGTTTCAATTATTCTTACATCACAGTAACCAAATACCTGACTATAGCAACTTAAATAAACCAAAATTTATTCTACCTCATGGTCCCACAGAGCAGTTAGTCCATGGTTGTCTGGCTCTGTCCTTGGACACAACATCATGGCCATGAAGGCTGTCCTACACTCCATAGTGGGCAGAAATTAGAGAAAAGAGGGATGACAGGAAGAAGCCAGGGCAAAAGACAACCTTAAGGGCACACACCCAGTGACTACTTCCTCCAGCTAGGAAGCTCCCCTTTGCCTTCATCACTTCCCCCAAAATGGCATCATATGACTCCATCCACAGTTAGATAGATCCAAATAGATGCTCATATTCTGATCTTCTGTCTCCTTGGCACCCCAAAGTAGAGAAGAACAAAATGCCTACATGTGTCTTCTTCAGACTTTCACCAATAGCATAACAATTTTCAACCACCAATGAGATTGGAGGATGAAGGATTAAAGCAAGCCCTTAGCTGGGTTTGACAAATCAGTCTCTATACAAATGTTCTTTTGAAATCCGTGTGAGTGAAACAGGAGAATAGGTAGTGTTTTCCAAAACAAATTATAGCACAGTATACATAGGGCAGTTTCCATGGAATATACTGAGAAAGAGTAAGCGTTGTGGAGAGAGTCAGCTCTGGAGCCTAAAAACATTGGCTTCCAATGTGGCCTCCTTTATCAGCCATTACCTGTCTACATTGGACAAGCCATTTTATCTGCTTGGGGTGTGACTGTCCATTTTAGTATGGACAAAGCTAGTCCAGCGCTGTGAGGCCATGAAAGAATTAGTGAGCTTACACAGTGCGTGAAACTTTGTGCAGCACCTGCACCTGATCAACTAATTTTGACCCCAAGCATGGCCTTCTGCCTGGAAATGGTTAGTTCAGGACCCTGAGGGAACATCTGTGCCCAGGGAAGGGCTAGGAGTCCAGGCTAAGGCCTGTTCCTCTTCCCCTGAGCTCCCTTTCCCCTGGGCAAAGTCCTGCAGAGCACAGCACCCAGACCACATCTTCACTCCCTTCCCAGCCCCATCATCCAATGAGAACACGAGGCCAGGGTCATGACTGTGAAGATAGGTCCCTGAGGCCCCTACCTATGCTGATGGCCATGGTGGTCATGTTTTTTGTATAGCACTGGGGAACCTACCCAAGTATTTATTCTATATCTAGGAGCTCAGGCAAGGAGTCAAGGTACCCAGAAAGGTTTGCCTTGAATATAGATTTAACAATTGCCTGAAAAGGACAAGAAGCCTCCAGAAAAAAGGTGTACGGGTGTGAGTTATGGACCACTGATCACCTGCATTCATTATCACTTAGCATCTCCGGGCTAAATTAACATAAATTAAATAAACATAATATTAATTTTTTCAAAGACACTTTACCTTTGTTATCTGCCAGAATATATCCAAATTCTATACCCCTCCCCAAGTTCAAGTGACCCTCACAAAGCCCTTGTGCCATATAGGGTCCATTCTTCTATTTTTAGCTGATAAAACTGGGGCTCCAAGAGGAGAGTCCTGGCTCCTTTCTTCTGATACACTTGCACAAAACTAAATCCACCCTATCTGACACCCGCTCTTCCTCCTGTCCAGGCAAAATTATCAGCATCTTTGAGTGCCAGTTCACCAAGATGGAGGATTTCCACTTAGGCTATAGAAAGACCATCAGAGTACTGACGGTCAATAACGTGGATGTGCATCACCTGTTCCGAGTCAAGGGTCTGTCTAGCATGGTGCTGGTGTATGGTCACAGCCCCTGTAACCTGCTTCACCATACCTGATAAGGGGAAGATACACGATACACCAGGTAGAGGAGAGACTGACGTACCCACACTTCCGCTGGATGAATCAACAATTTAGCTTAAGGTGATTCCCTGTCCCAGGAACTACCTAGAACCATCCAACCTCTGATCATCATGTGACAAAGGACCCAGAAGACTGCCCAGACGCTGAGGCCACAGCCTTTGAGCTTCCAGGCAGACTCTGTTCATTTCCATACCATAGGCCAGACTTGTTGACAGAAACAGTGCTCGAAATAAAGAGGTAAACATGTTGTCCTCGGAGGAATCACACCCCAGGATGGACACATTTCATCCTCAGCAGGCAGAGCCCAGGGCAGGGGCCATAGCTGCAGTGTGTATTGTGGCGGAGGCAAGAAGATGGAGATGGTTCTCAGGCCCTAGCCACCTTAAGGGTTAGAAGTCAAGGTGGACAGTCCATGGAGGGTTTCGAGGATAGAGAAAACCTCAGACAGAAAAGAGCACTCAGGGCATGACTGCAAGAGACTCTTTGTCTGTCACTCTTGCGTGGGGTTTATCAGGTCCCCAGAGGCGTGTGCCACAAATCAGTGTGGCGCCCTCTGTAAGCTTAGCCCATACCCTGCTGGCCATTAAGTGAGGTGTGCTATGAAACACACGGACACTCAGGCCGGCCTGAGGTGAGCTGTAGGCAGAGGTGCCACTCTGCTGCCTGGCCCAGCACTTTCTGAGGCCCAGAACCTGCAACGGAGAGCAGAGAACCTAGCTGGGGCTGAGAATAGAGCTGCTGAGGGCCCAATACCCAAGCTGAGCACTGAACCTTCAGCACGGGGAGGAGAGGAGTGGTTCCATCCTGCCCTCCGGTGAGCCATTGCACTCCACGGCACTGGCTCTCACTCTCCTGAGAGTCATGTCTTGGGGGTAACCCCGGTAGAGTAAGAGGGGTGACCCAACACTGTAGTGAGACATGGTTCCATGTGAACACCTTGAGTCTGCCTGAAGGGCTTCTCAGAGGAAGTGGGATTTTAGGGGCTCCCGGGATAAAGTAGTCCTTCCACATGAAAGAAAAGCTACCTTTCTTGACCACTAAGGGTGGTCAAGGTACACATTCCTGAATTGTCGGTGTCTGAGACCCATGATGTGGAGTCAATGATGACCCTACTAGGAATCACCCCTCTTTTCAACAAGGAAGCCAACCGCACATTGGCTGTGGAGGACACAGCCCAGGAGTCTTTCAAGGTGAGGTCACCTCACAGTGCTGTTCAGTGTCTGTTTGAGTCAGAGGGTAGAGGTACAGCTCAGGTGTGAGGTGAAGGAGAAGGGGAAGGGTATGGATCAAGTCAAGGCTGAGCTCCTCCAGAGGACCTTTGGGATTTATCTGGAGGATGGGGTCAGAGGTCAAAGCTGCAACAGGAAAATTCTTGGGCTGCTGATAATGTAAGTACCTCCCCTGAATGGCCTCCCTGAACCTCAATCTCACATTTGCCCAGGACCATTGAGTCCTTGGGATTCAAATAACCCATATTCATATAGAAAGGTCTAGGCTTAGTGACCTGGGACATTATTCTAGAACTTTCCACCTGTGGTATTTAGAGTTACTAGTCAACTACAAAGTCAGAAGTATTAATAAATTTTCCAAAGATACCACTGGTTCGGTGAAATTAAAGCCTGGATACCTTTGGAGTCTGAACACTCAAGGTCATCTTCAGAAGCCCAATCCTCAAAGGGCTCACAGCTGCACACTGGAAAGGGATCCTTGTGCAAAGGCCATGAAATACAAATGCCCCCACCCCCACTGTGAAGCTATGAGCTGTATCCAAGGCCATGAGAGACAGAGGCAGGAAGGGAGCATGGACGTGAACAGGCCAGAGCAGGTAAAGACTGGAGAGAGGGCAAAGGCTTTCGGTGACCCCCATGGAGCAGGCTGAGGGCAGGGCAATACCATGAAGGGTGGACACAAGCCCTCGGAGGTTCTTCCTTCGTGACTTCCACGTGAGACCTTACTCTAGGCTGGAACAGTCTAGCCTTGAGCTTGGGACCCGCTGTTTCCCTGCGCCTTGCAGCTGTCACTTGGAGCCAGGAATAGAGCACCGTCATGACACGAGTGTAGAACACAGTCACCAGGTGACAGCCTGCACAATTTGAACAGCTTTCCCTTCCACGCCAGAAGTAGGACTCTGAAGAGATAGCCAGGTGTGGGTCCTTTGTGCTTGTGTGGCCTCCACTGAAAGAAGGTTCTGCATCAATGTGTGTGCGCGTGGGTTCCTATAGGTGTGTCTGTATGTGCTGTGTTTCTGTGTGTGTGTGTGTGTGTGTGTGTGTGTGTGTGTGTGTGTGTGTGTGTGTGTAAGTATATGTGTGTGTGTTCCTGTCATTGTCAGTCTTTATGCATACCTCTATCTGTGTGAGAGGGTATGCACCCGTCTGCGGGGGTAGAGCATGGAGCAGATGTACACGTGAGGATGAAGGCCCTTTTTTCTCCCCATTCTCTAGGCAAAGCTTGCCCTCCCTGGGATGGAGGGACAACATCAGTTTTTCTCAGCACATACCAAAGACCCCTTCTGTGGCATTAAGCACTTGACCTATCTCTTCTCTGTCCCCAAACCAGCAGACCTGCACAGTACAGAGGCCAGGTCTTCGTGTGAGACTTCCCAGGGCAGGAATGGAAGCACACACCGACAGGAGACAGGTAACACTTCCTGAAGACACCATGAACTCCCTCCCTTCCCTCATTCCACAGAGGTGATGCTGGCTGCTTCCACTGGACTAAACCTAGAGAAGAACAGGCAGGCCGTGGGTTACAGCTGCACATGACCAGGCTCACAGTCTACTCTAGGTTCTCTTCCACCAACAGTGCCCCAGGCACATAGGGACTGAGTGCTCCTTTTCCTACTCAATCCATAAGTCCACAGAGCGGTTGGTGCTGCACATCCAGCCCACACGTCTCCTGCTGGCCTTGTGAATCCTGCTAAGTAAGTTCTTCACCAGCCTCTTCCTGAGCCTATAGGGTGGGAGGGCAGCCTCCCGCCTAGCTCAGCACACTTTGCACACGAACGACTCGGAATCACTCGGAGCTGTGACGGAGTCAGAGAAGGAAAACACCCTTCCTCTGAGCCCTCAGCACAGTGGACCTACGAGGGAGTGCTGGGCATGCTGACCTGGTGGTCTGCTCCAACCTAGGCTCCCCTCCCAGACCGAGGATGACCCCGGGCCTCCTTCTCTGATGGCCAAGGGTCTAGAGCCACTTAGGGCTCCTATCTCCAAACCAATACCTTCGGAATTCAAGCCTAGCCATACACCCACCACTTGACTGGGATTGAATGACCCTTTACCCAACCTTCAGTTCTGGCTGGTCAAAACACATTTCCCAGAGTTCCTTGCAACAGTTCCTAATCCTCACTCCTCTGCTTTCTGGGCCCATCCTCCTGCCCCAGAAATCCTTTGATCTCTTGCTGGGAACTCCAGAAAAGGGAGTCAGGTGTGTTTATTAACTCTTCAGATAACCTGGCTGCCCCTCTGCCCACCTCCTCCCTCTTTCTTATCTAGGTCCATGACCCCATCCTTCACCTTTGGTGCCTCCCTGGTTCCCTGGCCTGTGTCCACTGCCATGTGTCTCACCTCTCATCAGAGCAATGTTTCCAGTGTAACAGACACTGAAGCCAGCCAGAGCAGAAGGGCCCCTCTGGAGGTGGGTTAGGACATGAAATGGAGTCTTTAGAGGTGCATCCACGTGAGACAGTCAAAGAAGACGCTGGCAAGGCCGGGGTAAGGTCAGGAGCCCAAGTAAGAAGAAGGCTGGCAAGGCAGCAACTCCGAGAGGAGCCACAGTCAGTTCAGACCCTGAGGACTAACCTTCAAGGCAGACAATGAAATGTAGAAAACAAAAATATAGAGAGGTGCCAAGTAAATGCAGCCTTCCTGAATGACTAGCCCCAGAAATCATCAAAAGAATTGTCTGTGTTTGACTTTACAAAATGTAGACAGTATACAGGGGTTAGTGCCATTCAGTTCACCAGGAAAGAACAGCCATCATATATCTATGTGTGCCAAACGTCACAGCTCCTGGCAAAGGCTGAACAGAGTGGACAGGCTGATGGTGATGCCTTCTGTCCTTATAGTAGGGTAATAATCAATAATCAACCAACAATCAGACAGATGATCAATAAGGGAGCTGAGACCCAAAAGTCATCTACAACATTCCACCAACAGCATCACATACACGGTCCTCCGATTCTTGAGGACCAGGTGGGATTGAGGGAGTGTGGACACCGGGAAACTAGAGCAGGGGCCATGAGAGGTAAACAGAGGCTTTAAGGGGGAGAAGGAGGGAGGGCTATATGGCACATGTGGTGTGAAAGTGAACTGGAAAACAGTGGAGGAAGAAGGGATTAGAGGGGGAGAAGAGGGAGGAAAGAAATGGGGCAGAGGGTGTCAACAAAAGCATGGTAGGTACGAAGGTGCCTCAAGGAAACCTGATACTCTTCAGGTTATTGCAAAGTAGTATATTACACTTCTAAGTAAAGCTGGGCAGTGGTGGTGCACGCCTTTAATCCCAGCACTGGGGAGGCAGAGGCAGGTGGATCTCTGTGAGTTTGAGGTCAGTCTGGTCTACAAAGCAAGTTCCAGGACATCCAAGGCTACACAGAGAGACCCTGTCTCAAAGAAATAAATAAATAGATAGATGATAGATAGATAGATAGATAGATAGATAGATAGATAGATAGATAGATAGATAGATAAAATATATTTCAAAGTAAAATATTTGAGATCAAACATAAATAAACAAAAATGAAATGTCATAAACACCTCCCACGAACAAACTGAAAAGCTTGATAACAAGTATCACAAAGACCACCATTTTAAAGATTTCTTTCAAATTTATTATCAGGAAACAGCAAACACCAAGTAGAAAATATCGGAATTCCCGCCACTCCTCCAGCTATGTGACCACACATGTGCAGTTCAGTAGCCAATTAAGGGGCCTTACATGTTACATAATCTGTGGGCTGCGTGACTGCGCAATGCGCTCAGCATGATCACACAGTCTGCACATTCATAAGCCCACATGCGCATGTGCAGGGGATCCATAGGAGTAGATCACAGACCCC